TAGTTAAGACTGCCTTCAACACAAGTTTCTGTAGCGAACACCCGTCTGTAACTGGTTAAGGCTGCCTTCAACACAAGTTTCTGTAGCGAACACCAATCTATAACTAGTTAAGGCTGCCTTCAACACCAGTTTCTGTAGCGAACACCTGTCCATATCTAGTTAAGGCTGCCTTTAACACCAGGTTCTGTAGCGACCACCTGTACATACTAGTTAAGGCTGCCTTAAACACGAGTTTCTGTAGCGACCACCTGTCTATAACTAGTTAAGGCTGCCTTCAACACCAGTTTCTCTAGCGACCACCCGTCTAAAATTAGTTAAGGCTGCCTTTAACATCAGTTTCTGTAGCGAACACCTGTCTATAACTAGTTAAGGCTGCCTTCAACACCAGTTTCTGTAGCGACCACCCGTCTATAACTAGTTAAGGCTGCCTTCAACACAAGTTTCTGTAGCGAACACCCGTCTTTAACTAGTTAAGGCTGCCTTCAACACCAGTTTCTGTAGCGACCACTCGTCTATAACTAGTTAAGGCTGCCTTCAACACAAGTTTCTGTAGCGAACACCAATCTATAACTAGTTAAGGCTTCCTTCAACACCAGTTTCTGTAGCGAACACCTGTCTATAACTAGTTTAGGCTGCCTTTTACATCAGTTTCTGTAGCGAACACCTGTCTATAACTAGTTAAGGCTGCCTTCAACACCAGTTTCTGTAGCGACCACCTGTCCATATCTAGTTAAGGCTGCCTTTAACACCAGGTTCTGTAGCGACCACCTGTCCATATCTAGTTAAGGCTGCCTTCAACACCAGTTTCTGTAGCGACAACCTGTCCATATCTAGTTAAGGCTGCCTTTAACACCAGGTTCTGTCGCGACCACCTGTCCATATCTAGTTAAGGCTGCCTTTAACACCAGTTTCTGTAGCGAACACCCGTCTGTAACTAGTTAAGGCTTCCTTCAACACCAGTTTCTGTAGCGAACACCTGTCTATAACTAGTTTAGGCTCTCTTCAACACCAGTTTCTGTAGCGAACACCTGTCTATAACTAGTTAAGGCTGCCTTCAACACCAGTTTCTGTAGCGACCACCTGTCTATAACTAGTTAAGACTGCCTTCAACACCAGTTTCTGTAGCGAACACCTGTCTATAACTAGTTAAGGCTGCCTTCAACACCAGTTTCTGTAGCGACCACCAGTCTATAACTAGTTAAGGCTGCCTTCAACACCAGTTTCTGTAGCGAACACCTGTCTATAACTAGTTAAGGCTGCCTTCAACACCAGTTTCTGTAGCGAACACCTGTCTATAACTAGTTAAAGCTGCCTTTAACACCAGTTTCTGTAGCGAACACCTGTCTATAATTAGTTAAGACTGCATTCTATGTTTAGGCGGCAAATTTATTTTCGATGTGTAAATGCGTCATTCCAGTAGTTTCCTATAAGTAAAAAGACGCTAAATTTTGATAATGGAAAATTAATTTAATTACATTATTTCGTTATTTCACGATGTTATATAACAAGCTCTGTCATTGGACCATACAAAGGATGCCATTATAATATTAGACTCATGACTAAATGGTGTCAAATTGTTCAATAACATATATTTCCAATATTGCAAAAAAGGTAATTAATGAAGTAAACGTGAAGAAATACTGATACATACCTACTCTATTATTGTAAAGTCAGTAGCATAAACGCCTTCATTGTTGCTCTTGAAAAAGGTTTTTACCTGAAAATGAAGCATGTCATTGCCTAATGTCAATTGTTGGTTACCAGCAAAATAATAAAAATTCCATGGTCAACATGAATCTATATACGATGTAATTGTATGCATTCCCATACAGTACCGCTTATTCAAAAACCTCCTTCAGTATTTGTTGGCCTAGTTTTGGTCAATTCCAACACATGGAGAAAGGAAAGAAGGGTGTCCTAGCAACACATGGAGAATGGTAAAGAAGGGTGTCCCAGCAACACATGGAGAATGGTAAAGGTGGGTGTCCCAGCAACACATGGAGAATGGTAAAGGTTTGTGTCCCAGCAACACATGGATAATGGTAAAGGTTTGTGTCCCAGCAACACATGGATAATGGTAAAGGTTTGTGTCCCAGCAACACATGGATAATGGTAAAGGTTTGTGTCCCAGCAACACATGGAGAATGGTAAAGGATTGTGTCACAGCAACACATGGAGAATGGTAAATGTTTGTGTCCTAGCAACACATGGATAATGGTAAAGGTTTGTGTCCCAGCAACACATGGAGAATGGTAAAGGTGGGTGTCCCAGCAACACATGGAGACTGGTAAAGGTTTGTGTCCCAGCAACACATGGAGACTGGTAAAGGTTTGTGTCCTAGCAACACATGGATAATGGTAAAGGTTTGTGTCCCAGCAACACAAGGAGAATGGTAAAGGTGGGTGTCCCAGCAACACATGGAGAATGGTAAAGGTAGGTGTCCCAGCAACACATGGAGACTGGTAAAGGTTTGTGTCACAGCAACACATGGAGACTGGTAAATGTTTGTGTCCCAGCAACACATGGATAATGGTAAAGGAGGGTGTCCCAGCAACACATGGAGAATGGTAAAGGTGGGTGTCCCAGCAACACAAGGAGAATGGTAAAGGTGGGTGTCCCAGCAACACAAGGAAAATGGTAAAGGTGGGTGTCCCAGCAACACATGGAGACTGGTAAATGTTTGTGTCCCAGCAACACAAGGAGAATGGTAAAGGTGGGTGTCCCAGCAACACATGGAGACTGGTAAAGGTGGGTGTCCCAGCAACACATGGAGAATGGTAAATGTTTGTGTCCTAGCAACACATGGAGACTGGTAAAGGTTTGTGTCCCAGCAACACAAGGAGAATGGTAAAGGTGGGTGTCCCAGCAACACATGGAGACTGGTAAAGGTTTGTGTCCCAGCAACACATGGAGAATGGTAAATGTTTGTGTCCTAGCAACACATGGAGAATGGAAATGTTTGTGTCCCAGCAACACATGGAGAATGGTAAATGTTTGCGTCCTAGCAACACATTGAGACTGGTAAAGGTTTGTGTCCCAGCAACACAAGGAGAATGGTAAGGGTGGGTGTCCCTGCAACACATGGAGACTGGTAAAGGTTTGTGTCCCAGCAACACATGGAGAATGGTAAATGTTTGTGTCCTAGCAATACATGTAGAATGGTTAATGTTTGTGTCTTGGCAAAACATGGAGAATAGTAAAGGAATGTGACCCAACAACTCTTGCATAGCCTCTTCGCGACGTGCTTCCTCGCAGGCTTAGACGATGATATTTATATATCTGACGGCTGATGCTAATTGTGAATTTTCCATTTCTGGATATCAGCTATCAAGAATCCCAAACTTATGGTATTTACATATCGCGATCTTTTGATAGTTGTTGACTTGTTCCCGATATCATGACTTTCGTGGAAGATGTCGGCAACAGTAAAGACATACTCAAGACAAATGCTTTCCAGAAATTGGGCTGATTAAGGCTTTGGGTCAGTTATAAGGTAGTCATAATAATATTTTGATATTTATTTCGAAGTATTCAATTTGTTTTGTGGCATGAAACCGGACGTTTTTGCGACTCGCGAGTTTGTTTGAAGGTTCCGTTGTTGTATACCTTGCTGTCATTTGAGGGCGTGGCATTACTTTCTTGGATTGACCAAGATTTACTTGTCGGGTATCGTCGATAAAGAAAAAGACGCCCACTCTTATGGAACACGTGTTCTTATTTTCCTTGTCCTTTTTTCCAGTAGTCTCCATGTAAATGTTTATTAATCTTAGCTTCGAATTATGATTGTGTTAACATGTATGTATTTTCATGTCATAATGAAAAGGGAAATATAGAAACCACTATGCAGAGCCAAAGGACTGTACAAAAGACACACAAGTAAACAGCAACCTTAATAAAAATATAGAGTGAGATACATAAGAGCCAAACCATAAATTAAACTGTGCACACTGCTGTTTTGTCCTGTTAGGACCCGTCAGTGTTGCTATGGGCCTACATTTTGAGGCCGACTTCTGAGGCGACTAAGGGAAATCCAGAGTGATCAAAAAAGAGTCAAAATCTAGTTGGGTAGGAACACTAGCCACATAATTCGATAAATATTATATTTTTATACTGTATGTAATAATTTAAGAGCTTCATAAACATGTGTAAATAAAATCGTGACATGCAGGTTACGGCTCACAGGAACTCGGCTCTTGTTGTATGTACTAAGCGTCGGAGATAAAAATCATGTTTTTTTACACCAAGTATTTGCTAGCACTCGAAAGAAATGACACGTTCAGGTAGAGTAACAAATTTATAGCCGCTTTGTCTGAAATTGTGAATGTGTTGCTTTAAGACAACCAACCCGAATGTTTTGTGTAAACACGCCCATTTCAGAGAAATTTCGTGCACGCCGTAATGGTCTGATGAACGTTACATATGTATGCTTTCAAATAAACGTCTCCACAAAACCCGGAAGAAGGAATTTAACACAGAAGCATCAAATGAACGATTTTGATCACATGTCAATCACTGAATGGGCACGAATGATAGTATTGCTGTCGATATCAAAATAACATTCAGGCATTTACACGAAAAATCCTAATCAAGGCCACTGGCGTTATTTATTTGTTTGTTTTTGTTTGTTTGTTTGTTTGGTTTTTTTTCTGGACACTGACCAATTATATGTTTTGTATACTTCGTTTCATCAAATCATTTTCATTTTAGTATATTTTATTTTATTTATTTATTTTCATCCTTTCTGATATTTTTCCCCGATGATATTACTGTGCACTGTGTCCTATCCACACCTAAACCATGGTTGGCAACAGTTAGAGGTCATTGCATGGATCAGGCTTGCGCGTCATGACTGACTACGCATGCGCTCAGGGTCAGACATGTCGTCATTTATGTAAATTGAGTAACTACAGAAAATGTTAGATATAAACAAGGAAGAGAAACCTCACTAAGCTCAGAGCCAGGATAGAATTTGGAGGAGTTTTCCACGGCAGCAGTTTAAGATGGTGTCCAAAATTACGTTGTTATTTGGCTTTTCGGCATTAGTGCTGTTGATACTCCAGACGGTATCCATAGCAACACCAAACTGGTTCGTTGTTGATGGAAATGGACAAACATATATAACAGTTGGATTGTTTGATGTCTGTGTGACAGGCAGAGAATGTCTATCATACATCGAGTATGTGTTCAAACAGCAGAGCCCTTCATGTAAGTTGATTTGAAGCAGAAATTTATGTAATCACACCTGAGTATTACCTAAAATTTACACCATTCTTGTAAAAAGTGTATATATTAACAATGTAATGTGATATTTCTGTGCTGTTCAACTGTAAGCAATCACTTATATTCAACAGAAATATGTATGTGACGATAATTATATAATGTATAATTTTGTGTTTTCTTATCAACATGACAAAAGGGTTTCAAGTTTCTTGGTATGAAAAAGAGACAGACAGACAGACAGACAGACAGACAGACAGACGAGTGCGTCTTAAATTTTGGAGTATTTTTATTTCATTTTTAAGTGATATTGTCACAACTACAGTGTATGTCATTTAAGACTTTATTGTTGAACCAATATAACGTGAACGAATGTATAGACAGACCATAATTATCTCATTCTCGGTATACCGACCATCCTGCTTTACATCAAGTTAAGATAACAAAATCATTATGTAATGTTTAGATCTTTTGATAACTAAAATTTTCATGACATCATTATTACTGTATGACGTCACTACGTCATCTTAGTGACGTCACTCGATATTTCATGTAGCAGAAAGTTACCATCAGAGTTGTAATTTGAAATTAATTAAAAATCATCGACAATAATGTATCATATATACATATATCAATGTCAAACTTACCTGTGACTTTGTTTATTTATATATTTATTTATCTGTTCATTATATATTCATTTATCCATTCCAGTTAGCTACATAGCCTTTATAGGACTGAATGTGCTGGGATGTGTCTTCAACTTTGTATCCATCGTCATGTGTTTTGCTCACGCAGTCTCCGGAAAACCTTGTCACGAAAGATCCTTCATCCAGAGGACGGCTTCTTTGTGGATCACTTCGGGTAAATATATTTTGTACCAACCGACGTTTCTTATAAGAAAAATATTCCTGGGGTTAGTTTCCAGTTTCTAGTTCCCAGTTCCGCTTACAGTTAGACGTAAATGAAATGCAATTGTAAGTTCCATAAAAGAACAAATTTCTTTTAAAAATAAAGCTATGGTAGTCTTAATCTCTGTCGGAAAGGTTGTGGGTTCGAATCCTCAGTACCAGATCCAGATAAGACCATACCTATTGGACTTGTCGATTTGCGAACATAAACCCTTTTCTTTAACGTAACCAGGATCTGGTTCCAAGTACCGTTTTTCTTCAACAGAACAAGGAACTAGGACCATCCTCAGGTTTCCGAAACCAAAAGTTTCCACGGAAATGTGGGGTTTTAGTTTCCAAACAATCCTACATTTTACTCAAAAAAATATAAAAACATAAAAGTGAACTGGGCGTTCATCGCCCGATATGATGTTTATATTCATGATTTAGAATTTATTGCAATATAAACATGATATATAAAATAACCTGCAAAAACCCCTATGACTCCCTCCCCCTCTCCTACCTTCATTTTAATTAAAAATATAATTGAATTAATACTTTTTCAAGTTTACTATTAGATTATATCGTAAACATAAAGTATTTTTATACTTCGTGTTGCAGGTGATTTTTGTAGATTTTCCAAGCAGCCATTTTTAAAATTATTAGAAAATGCCATGTTTGAAAAAAAATAAGACTGTTTAAGGGAGCAAAGTAACCTTTGCATATTTCATCTTGATTTCAGGTTCGCTTCTTCTTGGTGCTGTCGTCTGGATTTATTTATCTTTGATAGATGTCGGCTTAAATGATGTACTCACCGACCTTTCAATCACGCCCGGCTATTCTTTCTACATTGCATGTCTTGTGGCAGTACTCCATTTGGTTGCAGCCATCGCCATGTTCATCCATGCCAACCGTATGCCTGTACCTCCGATGACAACTGGTTTCGTAACCGCTGCAGCTCCTCCAATGCTTGTAATGCAGACAAATACTATCGCTAACCCACCTGTTAGTAAACCAGAACACCCTCAAAACATCCAAACCGACGTGCAGACTTCTGCCTCATATGGATTACCCCAGAGCCATCCATCATATGGATACGACCAAGCATGAAAGAATTGAGCAATATCTGCCTGACATACATTATTTTTTTTTTGACGTGTTTTCATTCCATTTAATTTTTGATGTTTCCAGTTTATCATAAGTGTTAACGGATCGCAAACCCTATTGACCAAAAACTCTGCTCCCGTGCGACAATTATATATGATCTACCGTAATAACCAGTATATGCTATTTGTATTATTATTTCAAACCGTATTCATATATATGATTAATACAATCTAAATCCAGCTTGATCAGATTATCTTCCTGTTACATCGTGTAATAATTTTACGTAAATGCCACTAATGTACCATAACCTGGGGTTTTTGTCATTGGCTGTGCCGGCCAGGAATCAATTGTAGACGATATCAATTTAAAAGGACACAGCAAAATGGATGTCTTCCTTATCTTGTTCATTTTAACACATTCTGGACATTTTTGATTTTGAACCTGTCTAAATGTAGCTTTTCTAATTTATATCATTTTTTTTTCATATGAGATTTTAAAAATCTGTCTCGAAGATTTAAGTTTTGTTCAGCAAATCTTGCAAATATGCAATTCTAAGACTTATTTCATAAAATAGATCAACTTTTAACAGTTCTGATCACTGTTTTGATATCCACTGAATGTACCCAAGTAATATATTTGCGTATGGCAGATGTGTAATACAGCTTTTTGTGACGTCAGGTGAAAACATCACACACTCACAGATTGCCTCGTGATGTAACAATAGTGATCATAAATATGGAATAACTTCAAGTGTGACCTAAAAATGGCCGCTTTCATCGATATTTGCTCGACTGAACGTAATCATGATCAATGCGATATATGATTTATGAAACAAATTTTCATTTTAACTCGCAAAATGCTAAAATTGAAAATCCTATGATGTAATTCATGAAAAAAATAAATTTAGATTTCTATACATAAACATTGAATAAGGTTTAGTTATAAAATGTTTACACATTATTCATTTTTGATATCTTTAAAACCTCAATGTATGGATCATTTGACAAAATTTGCGAGATTGAAAAAACTCTGAAAACGTTTTATTGGTAATTATGCAGAGATAAAATTTAAACATACTGAAATATCTATTCATATAATATACTTCTGTTCGGTAATGTTCATAAATTGAAACATGTTTACATATAAAATATACAAGCACGGTATCGTCTTGAGTAGTTGATAAATAATTTATCTTTTTAATACATAATTGTAAATACATTATTTTTTCTCTTCAATTTTTAAATGAAAGTTACGTATGTTGGCGCTTTAAGCTATGCATTTTTTGATATCATAAGTTACCTTCCTTTACAGCAATATGTTATTAATGTTGAAGTGTGTTTTCAGAAAGGACATGCCCTTTGATAGTGTACAAACGAATTATTGTTTTTATTTACCTACTTCATAGAAATATTTTTTCTAATTTTTTATGATAGCGTATCAAAAAAAATGTGACTTCAAATTTTGATAATAAATAAATCTACAAAAAAACACATCTTCGATTTTTTTTAAACAACTATGTGTTATTGTGTTCTAAAGTAATTTCAGACAGTGTTTTAGAAATACAAGTAACGACTGGTCGAGTAACGTTTAGCTATAATGACTCCACCTGGTGTCAAGGTAGGTAGCTATAATGTATGACTATATAAGTAGCTATAATGACTATCATGGTGTTAAGGTCCAGTATGACTATAAGTAGCTATAATGACGAATCATGGTGTTATACAAAGAGGTCCAGTATGACTATAAGTAGTTATAATGATCAATTATGGTGTTATACAAGGAGGTCCAGTATGACTATAAGTAGTTATAATGACCAATCATGGTGTTATACAAGGAGGTCCAGTATGACTATAAGTAGTTATAATGACCAATCATGGTGTTATACAAGGAGGTCCAGTATGACTATAAGTAGCTATAATGACTCCACCTGGTGTTATACAAGGAGGTCCAGTATGACTATAAGTAGCTATAATGACTCCAACTGGTGTTATACAAGGAGGTCCAGTATGACTATAAGTAGCTATAATGACTCCAACTGGTGTTATACAAGGAGGTCCAGTATGACTATAAGTAGTTATAATGACCAATCATGGTGTTATACAAGGAGGTCCAGTATGACTATAAGTAGTTATAATGACTGCAACTGGTGTTATACAAGGAGGTCAGTATGACTATGTATGACTATAAGTAGCTATAATGACTCCACCTGGTGTTATACAAGGAGGTCCAGTATGACTATAAGTAGTTATAATGACTCCAACTGGTGTTATACAAGGAGGTCCAGTATGACTATAAGTAGCTATAATGACTCCACCTGGTGTTATACAAGGAGGTCCAGTATGGCTATGAGTAGTTATAATGACTCAACCTGGTGTTATACAAGGAGGTCCAGTATGACTATAAGTAGCTATAATGACTCCACCTGGTGTTATACAAGGAGGTCCAGTATGACTATAAGTAGCTATAATGACTCCACCCACCTGGTGTTATACAAGGAGGTCCAGTATGACTATAAGTAGTTATAATGACTCCACCTGGTGTTATACAAGGAGGTCCAGTATGACTATAAGTAGCTATAATGACGAATCATGGTGTTATACAAAGAGGTCCAGTATGACTATAAGTAGTTATAATGATCAATTATGGTGTTATACAAGGAGGTCCAGTAAGACTATAAGTAGTTATGATGACCAATCATGGTGTTATACAAGGAGGTCCAGTATGACTATAAGTAGTTATAATGACTCCACCTGGTGTTAAACAAGGAGGTCCAGTATGACTATAAGTAGCTATAATGACTCCACCTGGTGTTATACAAGGAGGTCCAGTATGACTATAAGTAGCTATAATGACTCCACCTGGTGTTATACAAGGAGGTCCAGTATGACTATAAGTAGCTATAATGACTCCACCTGGTGTTATACAAGGAGGATAATGACTCCACCTGGTGTTATACAAGGAGGTCCAGTATGACTATAAGTAGTTATAATGACCAATCATGGTGTTATACAAGGAGGTCCAGTATGACTATAAGTAGTTATAATGACTCCACCTGGTGTTATACAAGGAGGTCCAGTATGACTATAAGTAGCTATAATGACTCCACCTGGTGTTATACAAGGAGGTCCAGTATGACTATAAGTAGCTATAATGACTCCACCTGGTGTTATACAAGGAGGTCCAGTATGACTATAAGTAGCTATAATGACTCCACCTGGTGTTATACAAAGAGGTCCAGTATGACTATAAGTAGTTATAATGATCAATTATGGTGTTATACAAGGAGGTCCAGTATGACTATAAGTAGTTATAATGACCAATCATGGTGTTATACAAGGAGGTCCAGTATGACTATAAGTAGCTATAATGACTCCACCTGGTGTTATACAAGGAGGTCCAGTATGACTATAAGTAGTTATAATGACCAATCATGGTCTTATCATGGTGTTATACAAGGAGGTCCAGTATGACTATAAGTAGTTATAATGACCAATCATGGTGTTATACAAGGAGGTCCAGTATGTCTATAAGTAGTTATAATGACCAATTATGGTGTTATACAAGGAGGTCCAGTATGACTATAAGTAGTTATAATGACTCCACCTGGTGTTATACAAGGAGGTCCAGTATGACTATAAGTAGTTATAATGACTCCACCTGGTGTTATACAAGGAGGTCCAGTATGACTATAAGTAGCTATAATGACTCCACCTGGTGTTATACAAGGAGGTCCAGTATGACTATAAGTAGCTATAATGACTCCACCTGGTGTTATACAAGGAGGTCCAGTATGACTATAAGTAGCTATAATGACGAATCATGGTGTTATACAAAGAGGTCCAGTATGACTATAAGTAGTTATAATGATCAATTATGGTGTTATACAAGGAGGTCCAGTATGACTATAAGTAGTTATAATGACCAATCTGGTGTTATACAAGGAGGTCCAGTATGACTATAAGTAGCTATAATGACCAATCATGGTGTTATACAAGGAGGTCCAGTATGACTATAAGTAGATATAATGACTCCACCTGGTGTTATACAAGGAGGTCCAGTATGACTATAAGTAGTTATAATGACCAATCATGGTGTTATACAAGGAGGTCCAGTATGACTATAAGTAGCTATAATGACTCCTCCTGGTGTTATACAAGGAGGTCCAGTATGACTATAAGTAGTTATAATGACTCCACCTGGTGTTATACAAGGAGGTCAAGTATGACTATAAGTATCTATTGACTCCACCTGGTGTTATACAAGGAGGTCCAGGATGACTATAAGTAGCTAAAATGACTCCACCTGGTGTTATACAAGGAGGTCCAGTATGACTATAAGTAGCTATAATGACTCCAACCTGGTGTTATACAAGGAGTAGACTATAAGTATAATGACTCCACCTGGTGTTATACAAGGAGGTCCAGTATGACTATAAGTAGCTATAATGACTCCACCTGGTGTTATACAAGGAGGTCCAGTATGACTATAAGTAGTTATAATGACCAATCATGGTGTTATACAAGGAGGTCCAGTATGACTATAAGTAGTTATAATGACCAATCATGGTGTTATACAAGGAGGTCCAGTATGACTATAAGTAGTTATAATGACTCCACCTGGTGTTATACAAGGAGGTCCAGTATGACTATAAGTAGTTATAATGACTCCAACTGGTGTTATACAAGGAGGTCCAGTATGACTATAAGTAGTTATAATGACTCCACCTGGTGTTATACAAGGAGGTCCAGTATGACTATAAGTAGTTATAATGACTCCACCTGGTGTTATACAAGGAGGTCCAGTAGACTATAAGTAGGTCCATGGTGTTAGAGTCCTATGACTATAAGTAATGACAAGGAGGTAATGACTCCAACATGGTGTTATACAAGGAGGTCCAGTATGACTATAAGTAGTTATAATGACTCCACCTGGTGTTATACAAGGAGGTCCAGTATGACTATAAGTAGCTATAATGACCTGGTGTTATACAAGGAGGTCCAGTATGACTATTCGTAGCTATAATGACTCCACCTGGTGTTATACAAGGAGGTCCAGTATGACTATAAGTAGCTATAATGACTCCACCTGGTGTTATAGAAGGAGGTCCAGTATGACTATAAGTAGTTATAATGACCAATCATGGTGTTATACAAGGAGGTCCAGTATGACTATAAGTAGTTATAATGACCAATCATGGTGTTATACAAGGAGGTCCAGTATGACTATAAGTAGTTATAATGACCAATCATGGTGTTATACAAGAAGGTCCAGTATGACTATAAGTAGTTATAATGACTGCAACTGGTGTTATACAAGGAGGTCCAGTATGACTATAAGTAGTTATAATGACTCCACCTGGTGTTATACAAGGAGGTCCAGTATGACTATAAGTAGCTATAATGACTCCACCTGGTGTTATACAAGGAGGTCCAGTATGACTATAAGTAGTTATAATGACTCCACCTGGTGTTATACAAGGAGGTCAAGTATGACTATATGTAGCTATAATGACTCCACCTGGTGTTATACAAGCAGGTCCAGTATGACTATAAGTAGTTATAATGACTCCAACTGGTGTTATACAAGGAGGTCCAGTATGACTATAAGTAGCTATAATGACTCCACCTGGTGTTATACAAGGAGGTCCAGTATGACTATAAGTAGCTATAATGACTCCACCTGGTGTTATACAAGGAGGTCCAGTATGACTATAAGTAGTTATAATGACGAATCATGGTGTTATACAAGGAGGTCCAGTATGACTATAAGTAGCTATAATGACGAATCATGGTGTTATACAAGGAGGTCCAGTATGACTATAAGTAGTTATAATGAGTTATAATGACTCCACCTGGTGTTATACAAGGAGGTCCAGTATGACTATAAGTAGTTATAATGACTCCACCTGGTGTTATAC